TTCACAGATGGCTGCAAAAATAACACTAACTATACCACATATGACAACCAGAAGGAAAATAACAGCGAATTTGGTCCAATAATGGGATGAGTACTACAACAATAGTAATAAATAACTTCTTAACTCCTTCTTGTTTTTATTCACACCATTATTTCAATTATTCATGGCCAAGTTGTCAAAATTGGCAATTTATTGTTAAAAATTCAAGTATTGCACTACTTCCACTGTCCATAAGTAATGTTTCCCCAATTCCAACAAAACTGCCTGAGCATAAAAAGTAAGAATATTCAAATAATGGAAATATGAAATGGTATTCTGGGAATCAGAACCTTATTCTATACTGTACCTGTATGTGGTTTTGTAATATTTGTCAATACATGAATGAACATGTAGTACCCAGCAGAAAATGCTCTCTTTCGGGACAATTTCATTGACGAAACGTTGACGAAATTTATGGAATTGTCATTCATGACTAAACACATGATATGTCGTTCTTCTAGAAATATGTAAAGAAAACAAAAATAGTCTGAATCGGGTGTACTATAAAATATTGATAGAAACAAATAGAAAATTTTTTTGAAAATATATAAGAAATTTAGGATAAAGAATACGTGTTTTCTTGGTTAAAATAGGTAATAGCCTAGACAGACGACAGCCTTAATTTGCATTAACAGCCTTAATTCAAATTAATTTGTACATTATCCTCATTTTTATGTGTTGTTAATGCACAAAATCAAACTGAATTTATACTGAATTAAGCAATTTCAATATGGCAATGCTGTAGAAAATCAATTGATTGTTGTCAAATTTGTTTACGTTTACGAAAATAAAAATTAGAAATAAAGGCAAAATTCAACATTTCTTCAAATTTGGACCTGTTTTATCTTCATTATAGCTGTTAGTTTTCCTTCCTGTCATGTATCAATTTCAAAAAGATGTAATCCTAAAAAATATTGTGAACAAATGTCAATATTTTCTTCCTACACACTGACAAACAATAGTTTTGAAACAAAAAACTGGTTCATAAATGCAGAAACTCTCGTCTGTCAGGGGTAAATTTTAATTCAAATTAAGAACTTTTTAATGCAAATTAAGTCTGTCGTCTGTCTATGGTATAAGTTTAATTGAATATATAATTATTTGTATCATTATTTGAATGATTTTTTTACTCTTATAGCCTAGACAGACGACAGCCTTAATTTGCATTAACAGCCTTAATTCAAATTAACTTGTACATTATCCTCATTTTTATGTGTTGTTAATGCACAAAATCAAACTGAATTTATACTGAATTAGGCAATTTCAATATGGCAATGCTGTCGAAAATTAATTGTTTCTTGTCAAATTTATGTATATTTATGAAAATAAAAATAAGAAATGAAGGCAAATTTCAACCATTTTTTAAATTGGGAGCTGTTTTGCTAAGATCATAATTGCTATTCCTCCTTTATGTCATGTATTTATTTCCCAAAGATGTAATCCCGAAAAATATCGAAACAAATGTAAAAAATTTTCATCATACACACAGACAAACAATTGTTTTGAAGCAAAAAACTGTTTCGTAAATACAGAAACTCTCGTCTGTCAGGGGTAAATATTAATTCAAATTAACAGCATGTTTTTGTAAAATTCAGGGGTAAATTTATTTATGTTTATAAAGGTTTTCTGATTCAAAACAAAAATAAATGACATATTTTTCAAAACCAAGGAGTTTGGTCGTAAGTCACTCGAATTCGTTCGTTTGGAATTTTATAAAAACAGGCTGTAAGAAATTTTTAATGCAAATTAAGGCTGTCGTCTGTCTATGGTATTAGGATGGGGCAAATAAATGACGATTGGTAAAATATTGTAAGTAATATCTGAAGGATGTTTCAAATTTTAATGCGTTTTAATGTTGTTGTTTCATTACAGATGATGTTAAAATGGAGAAAATCATCTCGACAACTTCTCAGGAAATGTGTTTATTTTTTTATTTATATTTTATTTTGTAAAAAAGCCTAAAGGCCAATAAGATTTACAATATGCATGAACTTATAGTACCTACTCCAGATTTATATTATTATCAACGTAAATGCAATGTATATTTCTTGTTGTATAATAAATTACATGCTATAAAAAATATAAATTGAAAATGTATATGGGCAATATTGCCAATTTTTTAACATAGCTCAAGCGGAGGTTCACCCCTTTATAACACGGGAACTACTTATGTATATGAAAAAAAGTGAATAGTTTTGGGTTAATTGATCTGTCGTTGCAAACTGTTCATGATATTGACCTCCAAACTTTATTTTGGTGGAAGCTGTGTCTACTTAATGTAAAAAAATGTGTAAAAATAGGTTGAGGCGAACCAGTTTTTTATGTTCTCTATCGATTTGTGACTAAGCCACTCATTGCACGGTCTTCGTGTCAAAATAAAACTAGAAGCCAACAAAATGGGGACTACGCCCCTTATGTATCATTTTTCAAAATTTTAACTGCATCTACCTTTAAATGATGCTGACATTTTGAAGCTCGATTTTGAGTGTTTTTTTAATTTTACTTCTAGCTTTAATACGCAAACAGGAATTTATAAAAATCGATTATAAGATTATTGTAGTCGCGAATCTGCGTAATTTGATATGTATTTTGTGTATGTAGTATGCACAGATTCAGAGTAATACTCATCCGCAGGTGCGAATTTTGTGCGATCAAATTTCTAAAATACCTATTTTTACCTTTAGATCTGTCATTTTTACCCGCGATCAATAAGGTTTTTTACCAAATTTTGTACATTATCATTTCCAAAAACACGAAATTTGGCAAAAAATGTTTTTGAAAATATTGCGGATTTATTTGCGTTTTCCTTCAATAAATGACCTCATACGGATTTTGATCTTTTTCGAAAAGAGAACTTTAAAAACTTCAGCCGAAAGAAAGATGTACGCAATTTATCTCTAAAATAGATTGTGCTGGCACATCCATGGTTCTTAATGGACCACATTGAAATGGTATAGATCGATGTATTTTTTTTAGGGTGCACACCGAAATCGGATGCGCGTTAATGGCATATGGAGTTTTCGGAAATTATTCGCGTTTAACGATTTTTTGGGTACTTCAATGTAACGTGCGGCACATCTTAGCCGTCAAATGAAATTTCGCAAAATATATATGGATTGGAAGATAAACTTCAGTACTTCCTGAAAACCGCATGCGCATCAAATGATTTTGAGAATTACGCGATTTAGACGCAATTTAAAATGTATATTTCATAATATTTTATTTTAAGATTTATTCCTATTTATAGAATTCTAAGATTTATCGGAAGGGTCTTGATATAATCCGCAAGGCGTATACTTATACACAAAAAGTGATTATTATATATGTCAATTTTTCGGCGAAATTCGGATAAAATAGCAGAATAACCCCAACATTTTTTCTGAAATTTCTTGTATACAATTAAAAAAATAAATATGATGACATTATTTTTTTCGAACCAAAAACAAATATTTTTCCTCAATATCTTGTTTTGTTGTCGCTTTGATTTAGAAACCGCTACACGGACTTGTGTGGTTTTGATATCGTTTCATTCACCATGGTGTTTAGATTATGTAGATATTTTTAAATTAATTTTTAGGTGTGTGTACGTCATTAATATAATGAAAATATTGATGTAATCTGCTAATTTTTTTTTAATTTTCTCATATTTCGCGAATATGTGCAACTTTATCGTGATTATTATAATATATTCATATTCTTATTTTACGGAGGAAGATATATATCAACGTTTTTGGTCAATATAATAAACGGCGTAATTTTAAGATTTTTTTCTTATGTCCAAAATTAAAACCTCGATAACTTTTGCGCGCATCAACCAAAAATTTGATCGCGAACGGTTTCGGAATCAGAACATTTTTCTCTATATGTGTACCAAAAATCATTGATGTGCCACAAAAACAAAAAAGCTGTTTTTTTGAAAATGGAATATAAAAAAATTGGCAATATTGCCCATATGTATATTTTAATTTGAATTTTTAATGGGGTATGATTGATGACAATGGTCGTCACACAGTCGTCAACGACTGTGTAAACGACATAGTCGATGATAGTCGTCAACGAAAAGTAGGGAGTTTTGTCGCTAAAGTTGTCGTCAACGACAACTTCGCTTACTTTGTCGCCCAAGTTGTCTTGCATGAATACTGCGACACTTGTGTGAAATTTTCGTCAAGGATCTCACATTGTTGTCTGCAAAGTGTCTTCAAGGAATTGCCATTGTCTTGCACGATTCGTTAATGTTGTCTGCAAGACACTTTCTACTGGGTACTTATGTTGATTTCTAACACAATAACCAAATTTGCGATATTTTTGCAAAATTAATTTATTCTGAAAGTATGAATCATAATTTGTACACCTGTATTCATGAATTAACATGTAATACTTATGCTGATTTGCAACAGTTTCCAAATCTGGAATGTTTTCTCAATATTAAGTATTACTGAAAGTATGAATCATAGATGTATAATTCCGATATTTATTATATAATGAACATTTTGCCAGTTTTATTTTTCATTTCAAGAAACAAATCATTTTTCATACTAACATTTTACAATTAGATCTCCCAATATTATTGAAAACATTAAAAAAATGTATACCCGTTGATGTAAATTCTACGTATCTGTACACTACGATTTTGTGTTATTTTAGTGTACCTATCCACCTTGTACGGTACGGTACAGAACACTATGAAAGGTAATATAATGTTTATTTTCAAACACTGATTAAATATAAAAATCCAAAATGTTATTATTTTTTCTTACCCAACCTAATTAAGGACGTTAACACAAAAGTGATGATATATAAAGAAAGTATTACATTTTTGGAATTTTATTATTTATTTATTATTATTATTATTATTTTTTTTTTGAAGCAATGGCTACTATATTAGTTTCACAAATGTAACGCATGGACATAAACTATCATTTACATATTTTATTTGTAATTTATGTTTTTTTTATTTACAGTTCGTTTTCATGTTGCTCACCTTTATGAAGTCCAGAATAAATATAAATCGGCCAAGGAGTTGTACGAGCAATTGCTTAATGAAAAAGAGCTGACATTGGAGCTAAAAGCTGCAATTTATAGACAATTAGGTACGTATATTTCTTTAATAATGTGCCGCTGCAGTTATTTTAATTAATGTATTATATATTCAGGATGGATGTATCACTGTCATGACTATTTTGGTGAAAGAAAACAACGTGAGTCGTATGCAATTCTTTGTTTGCAAAAATCAATTGAAGCTAACCCAAAATCTGGCCAATCTCTATATTTGCTTGGTCGGTGCTATGCCGGTATAAACAAGGTTCATGACGCATTTATTGCCTACAGAAATTCTGTGGAAAAAAGTGAAGGAAACGCAGATACTTGGTGTTCTATAGGGTAAATATTGTTAAGTACATATTAACTATAAACCTATACATACCCTCCTTATAAAGTGGAATGTATATAAAAAATGACCCCACGAAGAATTTATACATTATGGATCACAATCAAATTCTATGTCTATTTAGCAAATTAAAGATATTTAAGCTTGAGGTCAATTCTTTAAATATTTCACACTTTTTACAACGCTTAAATAAAAAATTGGTTAATTGAAAATGAAATTACTTAAAAAAATCATATTTCCTTGAAACCAACCCCGTTTAATGGACAAATTTATGCGTTGCGTTTTGTGGCGACTAATTTATTACTTAAATGATCTGCAATTCTGCGAATTTCACCAAAAATTTTGCCATACTTTAAGAAAAAAATATATACATTTTTAGAAATTAAAGATAGGAATGACAAAAAAAGAAATTTAAAATCGACACCAATTTAGTACAGAAACAATCTCTAGAATCTTCAAAAATAAAGAGAGCATTACAATCTTGCTCATCAAAAAATATTGCTTTAAAAAGAATGATGATGTTGTAACAAAAAAGTTAAGAAATGCTATTTTGTGTGGTTTAATTAAAAGCGTTCAAAAAAAGCCACACTGACTCGAAGTTTATTGCTGGAAAGTGTTTTTTGCCTAAAAGATCAATGACTAGGTACCATTTTTAAAGCTAATAAATAAGAACAAATGTAAAGATATTTGAACATAACGTAAGCCTTTTCAGTATTTCAGATCGTTTAATTGAAATACGTTTGTATTAACTGAACTTCGTTTAAACGATGTATCAATTATTCGCACTACACTTTATTGATGAAATAAAGAAAATTTAAATGTCTACAAGTTATCGTTTTTGAAATCATATGCGTCTTTCCGGGAAAACTTCAACTTCATATTTCTTATTTATGTAAAATACATTTAATGCTCAAAATATTCCCATAATTTGCAGCGTTTTCACATTATTAGCAATGTCATCTAAATCCATACTTGGTTGAAGTCGCGTGGGTTACCTCTTTTTTTGGCTAACAAAAACCAAAGGCTTTCAACTTTTTAACATTGATAGTACTTATAAAATACTACAAAAATGTTTAAGAGTGAATTGTAAAAAAAATCATTGGGTTTGATTTATTTAACATATAAAACTGCCGCCGAAAGTCGTGGTAACCGCGAAATGCCCATATGTTCTAAACTAATTTAAAAACAACTATGAATGGAAATTAGACAATTTTGGCGAATTTTTGAGTAATACATTTCTTTATATATTCGGATTTTTTTTAAATATTTATTAATTTAATATATTTAAATATCTTCATTCCGCAGCAGTTCCATTTTGGTTTTATGTTGCTCTACATCTACCTTGTTATATGTACCATGTCAAAAATATAGAAATTTATTGTTATTTTACTTATTTTTTTTAATCTTTCGGACATAAATTAAAAATTACAAAAAAACTTAGGTATTTTCTCTTCAGACGAAAAAATCAATAATTTTGATTTTCTAGATTTACTTTTATTCATTAAGTTCCGCGTCACTTACACGTGGAAGCGTGTAAGTGGTGTTCCCTGTTCCCTATATCGTAGGGAACGGGAACTCCATAGTCCGGACTATGGAGGTTTCTAAATGGTGGGATAAACCGGCTACTTATTTTATCCGCCGGTAACAAGTACTATATATGTCAATGCCACGGCCGCTGGTTTTATGTACCGGATTGATTCGGAGATGGACTCCGATTAGAGGCTGCCACCTCAACAAATACAAGTACGTGTGCGTTATTTTTGTCATTGGATCGGCATTATATCCCGGAATGACTGCTCCGAACCCTAATGGTCCGTGCCGTGGTAGAAAGAAATCTCGGATCCTGGTTCTGTAGTGTTTGCCGCAACCCCATCCATCACAGATCCATCTTGGTGAAATGCAATGGGTGTAGAGAATAGGTGCATTTTCGGTGTTGCTTTGGACTGATCCGGATTCAGGTGTACTGCGAAAGGAGTTACGCTTCATGCTGCGCCAACTCATCTTCCATCGTGTCTGAGGAATCGTCGATGTCGTAATATGAGACACCCTCTCAGTCTCCTCAACAGCAAAACACGCAGCACTTAACACCGCATTTTGCTGTTCCGCAATATGCGGAACATTCTAAAAAATTTGACAAAAACTCAAAATACTATGTAAGGGATTCGCTGCAATTTAGAAATAAAATACAAAACTTGACGATTAAGGACAATGAGCGGATGATGTCATTTGATGTGGTATCACTTTTTCCATGTATACCAGTGGGCCTTGGACTAGAAATAATAGCCGAAAAATAGAATGAAATTAAAGAATACACTAATATGACAGAGCTTATTTTTTAGTATTCTAAAGTTCTGCATTAAACACAACCGATATTTTCAATACGAGAATAAGATATATAAACAAAAGAAAGGACTTCCAATGGGTTCACCTGCTTCTCTGATTGTAGCTGATATAGTGATGGAGAAACTATTTGACACCTGTATGGAACAACTGAAGACCCTGTGATATTGACGAAGTACGTAGAAAACTTATTTATAATAATTGGGAGAGATGCAATAGTAGATACTTTTACGACTTTCAAAAATTTCTATCAAAGCATAAAATTTATCATGGAAGAGGAAAATAATGGTTCCATTCCATATCTCGACAACTCATAAGAAGAAAAGACGGGAACATTGAACTTGATTGGTCGCATATTAAATTTCTACTCCAAACACCCAAAACAAATGATTATCAACACATGAAGAAACCTTAAAAACAGAATATTAAATATCAGCGACAATAAGTTCCATGAAAATAATCAACATAAAATATTAGTAATACTGACCAAAAATAGTTTGCCAAAATTACTGATAGAAAATTTATTAAACAAATACAACATGCCAACGACGAAAGAGAAAACAGAAAAACATTATAAATCAAAGATTTATATTTCTGAGAGACAACGTGATATACCGTATTGAATGTGATGGATCAAAAGATGATAAATATGGAAAAATGTATGTGGGTACCACGAAAAACAAACTTAAAACATGATTATCTCAACACAAATCGGACATAAAATTAAGGAACCAAAACAACAACCAAAATACCGCTCTTGCAGAACACTGTAAACTTAAAAATCACATACCAAACTTTGACGACATACGTGTATTGCCGTCAGAGAACAATTACAACAGAAGGTTAACATTGGAGATGTTACATATTAATAACATACCAACAAACTTAAAAATAAACCAGTAAGGAATTAACGTCATCCAAGTCTCAATTGGATACGTTGTGCAAAATTTGGTGTTAATCGGAAAACATTAGGAGTTCGGTGCATCATTTATGTAAAATCGGACGAATATATATGCACTGTTAGACCTATATCGAAATCTGAACCGATTTTTTCGAAATTATCACACATTACTCTAGACTCAATTCAGTACGCTATGCCAAATTTTGTGCAAATCGAAGGACTTTGGTACGCCATTTACCTAAAATCGGACGAAAATATATATGGGAGCTATATCGAAATCTGAATCGATATTCCCGAAACTTACCACTCATCATTCTAGACAATTCATTGCGCAATGCTAAAGTTCGTGTAAATCGGACGAAAATATATATGGTAGCTATATCGAAATCTGAACCGATTTTCCAGAAACTTACCGATCATAATTCTAGACTTAATTCATTACGCTATGCCAAATTTCGTGCAAATCGAAGGATATAAATGGGCTTTGGTGCACCATTACCTAAAATCTGACGAAAATATATATAGGAGCTATATCTAAATCTGAACCGATTTTTACGAAATTTAACACATATCATTGTAGACTTAATTTAGTATGCTGTGCCGAATTTCGTGCATATCGAAGGATATAAAGGGACTTTGGTGCGTTTACCTTAAAACGGACGAAAATATATATGGGAGCTATATATAAATCTGAAACGAATTTTCCCAATTTCAATAGGATTCGTCCATTCAAAAATTCGAATTTCATCCAATTCAAATCAAAAATGCGACCTGCACTTTGTACAAAAATATACACAAAGACAATACCATAGTGTGGTGAAGGGTATAATTACCCTGAAGGAAATGTGGGGTGTTGTATCGCTTTTGACTACTATTGAACGCAATGCTGTACTTCAAGCCTCTGGGCCTCAGCATTAAGTGTCAGGCTGCGCGTAGCGCTCTAAGGCTGCATGAACAAAAACTCTGGCGAAACTGTACCTTTGGGCATGGTAGTGTTCTGAATGAACCAGGTATAGCATTGGACCAACGCGCTAAACTAAGCGACTATATATCACCAATCCTTAGATTTGACGATGTAGATGTCGTTATTCCTAGTAGAGACGACTGGAAACGAAGTAACCCTCCTCTGGACGGTCTGGCCTTCTATACAGACGGATCCAAGATGGATGAAGGTACTGGGGCAGGCGTCTACTGTGAAAGGTTAGGCCTTGAGTTAACTACAAGCTGGATTGCAACTGTAGTGTTTTCCAAGCTGAAATCTTCGCGATCTGGAATGCGGCGGAATTGATAAAAAGTCTGGATGCTGAGGTCGTTGAACCGGTGACTACCTTTGTGGATAGTCAAGCGGCTCTTAAAGCCATCAAATCTTGTTACATCAAATCCGAAGCCGTCTTGGAGCAGCTCTGGAAGAACTTACCCATAGCTATCGGTTGTGTTGGGTACCAGGACATTGTGACATCTTGGGTAATGAAAGAGCGGACGAACTAGCTAGACGAGGATCTCAATCCACCGATCTAGAAACTGATGACTCAATCAAACCACCAACATGTCTTTTCTATAGGAACTTTGAGGCATTCTTTGACGAAATAGCCTGTGAACTTTGGCACAACGAACCTAGGTGCAACGTGTCAAGATCCATTTGGCCGAACCTGAGCAAAGCTAAAATTAGAGTGATGACGGGAATCATCACTGGTCACTGCAACATCAGGGCTTTTACTAGTAAATGGGTAAATGGGAGGAAACAGAGACAATTGAGCATCTCCTGTGTCATTGCCCAGCCCTGGCTTACAGGCGGCACAGACTAGTGGGTGCTCATTTTCTACCGAGTCTTAGCTTCTTCTCAACAACCGAACCTGATTTAATCTACAGCATAATTAGAAACATAAAGCGGTTAGGAACATACAACCTTGGCACGTAACACATCTTCTGTCTGACTCATAGAGCCATCGACCTTCATTCTTCTTTCATTCATTTATGTAAGATTCTCAACCGGTCTCAGAGTGCTGCAGCCACATAAGTGACTGCACATCCCCAAACCTAACCTAACCTACTATTGTGGCGACATGTCAACAACTTGTCTACATATCATTTAACAAGAAGAAGCATTTGTTATGTTAACAGCCAACTGAGCATGATTATGCTTATTCTTACTTTTCTTTTATTAGAAATATGCTGGCGGCAATAGACAGAAATTTTGTTAAAAGCGCGTGTTAAAAGTTATTGAAGTCAATCATAATTATTTTAATTAATTGTTGAAGAAACAATTTTAAGCAAAAAAATAATAATAATAAAAAATTAAAAGTGACATATTGATTTACTACTGACCGTGTCTACATATGTGACACTGTGTCTATATATACAAACTACTGACTTACTACTGACCATGTCACTATTTCATTTCCAATGACAAGCACATGTTAAATGTCAATAGTAAAATGCATTGTGTTGGGTATAGTCTGTCAATAATATTGGTGACAATAACATTCAAAACGGGGTTAAAGCTGCTCAGAATATTCTACAGAAATGTTCACCATAAAGTTTTACTATAAGTCTAGGTTTTTTAGACATTTGATCGCGCAAATTTTTCAACTTTGGATGAGTATTACTCTGAAGCTGTACCTACTACTTACACAAAATATATATCAAATTACGCAGATTCGCGACTACAATAATCTTATAATCGATTTTTATAAATTCCTGTTTGCGTATTAAAGCTAGAAGTAAAATTAAAAAAACACTCAAAATCGAGCTTCAAAATGTCAGCACCATTTAAAGGCAGATGCAGATAAAATTTTGAAAAATGATACATAGTAGACGTAGTCCTCATTTTGTTGGCTCCTAGTTTTACTTTGACACGAAGACCGTGAATTGAGTGGCTTAGTAACAAATCGATAGAGAACATAAAAAACTGGTTCGCTTCAACCTGTTTTTACACATTTTTTCACATTAAAGTAGATACAGCTTCCACGCATATAAACTTAGGAGGTAAATATCATGAAAAGTTTGCAACGACAGACCAATAAACCCAAAACTATTCTCTTTTTTCATATACTTAAGTAATTCCCAAGTTATAAAGGGGTGAACCTCGGCTTCAGCTATGTTAAAAAATTGGCAATGTTGCCCATATACCGAATATATAATCATACATTTTGAACAAAAAATTAAAAATGTTCTTTTTTTAAGACATTTCCCAGTATTTTTTCGACTAAGTGCCTTAAAGTAACATGAAACTTAATTTTAGGTATATTAACCCTAAAATGAGTTAATATACCTCATATATATTAACCCTAAAATGAGTTTTTGTTTTTTTTAAGATTTTTGACGTTTAGGCTGATTTTTGAGTTTTAGTCTATTTTGAGACTTATAGTAAAACTTTATAGTGAACATTTCTGTATAATATTCTGAGCAGCTTTAACCCCGTTTTGAATGAGTTTTCAATCACTTCTGGAAAAAGGGACCGAAAAGAACCCTTCAATTAGTCGGTTGAGGGTTAAAGTTGTACACCAAAATATTCCTCCATATTTTATCAATAATATTGGCGACGGCACTATATACCTAAAATGCAAGGATTTCCAGAAATCATAATTCGAAAATTATCAAAATTCTTGAAAAGGGGGAAATTGCCCCGTCTTTTTAGATTATCTCCCGACGTAAACTTTCAAAACGCCGATACACGTGTCTTCTTTTTTTAGTCCCTCTTTCATAATCTGTTGGAATTTCCCGGTAATTAATTTAGTATATTATTAGTAATTTATGTAGTAATTTAAGTTTCTTGTCAATTTCCAATCAAAAATATTATCAATATTGGTCCACTATTTAGGGTAGCCCCCATATGACGTTGCCTCTCAGATTTCGTTATTTTGAGGAGCTTGGTCACGTTAGTTATTTTAGACATGTTGGGTAAGTTTTTCAACTGAATTGGTTCTAATTTGATATTTTGGGTTCACATGGGGTGTAAATATCTATCCCAATTTCTTGGTATTTTGAGGATTATGGTATGTTGAAGGTCCGAGTGCAATTTTCCAAACTGAGAGTCTATAGCTTTATGTTCTCCTTTTCAGTTGATAGCAATATAAAAGTCTTGATTAATAATAGGGATTTTAAATGTGCACCTCGGTGGTGGGTACAAAAAGTTCACCGAGCATAAATACGTTTTGTTTATAAAAATATATAACACATTAAAACCGTTCACTGCCACTTAGAATACTTATATTGATGAATTAATTTTTCATTTAATTTTAGAGTTTTATACCAGCAACAAAATCAACCCACAGATGCTTTGCAGGCATACATATGCGCTGTTCAATTAGATAAGAGTCATAGAGCAGCATGGACAAATCTTGGAATTTTATATGAGAGTTGCAATCAACCCAAAGATGCATTTGCTTGTTATTTGAATGCTGCTAGAAGTGTCACTGCGGTAAGTAGTAACCTAAAGGTTATGAAAATTTTTAACTTCACATAAAACAGAATCATATTAAATCATCAATATATCGATCACTACCAGCGTAGGTCACCCAGAATGAAAGATGAAAGAGGTATATATGTATATATATATATATATATATATATATTTCAATAAATTTATTAAAATCTTATGAGCAACATTTTAATAGAATATGGAGTCCGGTTCAATAAATTAATGACGAAAATGACACACGATGATTCGAGTTAAAAGAATGAAATGTTTTACAAAACATCCTTATTCGATTTTGTAATATCTTAAAATGAATACAATAGCTACAAATGAAGATATGTAGCTATCGCTTCTAGTATAATAGGGTCGCCAGAAAAAACGATCACGGCGTATCTCCGAACTTTGACCTATTATATTTCATATACTCACAAAGGTCTTTCAACCCCAATATAAATTTTTCACTCGCATCAAACTCTTGTCGCACAGCGTATCGAACTAACTGATTTCAGGAATGAATAGTGGAACCTTGGCTTTTAATAAATATGATGTTTTATTTTTTGGAAATAAATTTAAATATCGTTTTTTATGAAAGTCTAATGCGTTCAAAATTCTCGCGTTGTACTATTTTATGTTTTTAGTTAAGAATTATGTTGGTTTTCTTTATTTTCGTGTAAATTATTTGCTGTGTCATCACAACAACACAGTGCAAAAATAATAGATAATAGTTCAGTTTGAACGCATTTTTTGTCGGGATGGAAAGGGCATTTTTATAATGTTTAAGTACATCTTTTGTCTTCTTCCATTTCCTGTTTCTGTAACAGAAATGTTTTCTACGATGACGAATTCGGATAACGCCGGCTTATCGAAAAAATCGGTAAATTGAAACTAAAAATCTTTAACTAAAATTTTAAATTTTCAAACACTTTACTTTCCTTTATAGAAATCCCGGATAATTGAAAATCCGTAAAAGTGAAAGACTTTCTTGTTGAAAAAATACAAATATATATACGAAATTAAATTTCCGTGTCAAATTTTTTTCGCGAGGAAGTAACATGTTTGTTTGTTTTTCACACATTCTTCCTATAATTACTGTGTAATTTTAGCAATCGTTGACGAATTCACAGAACTGTTGTAAGTCAACATTGAGAAAATTCAACTAAAAATGATTTGTCGAACCGGAGATAGTTTCTTTATATAAAATAACGACGACAGCTGATGATTTTATAAAATTGTAGATTTTACTGTTATTTATAAAAAGTGCATTTAAGAAATCCCAAAAGGAAGGTCAGGAAGAAAAATCTCCATCAATATCTATGGGGGCAATTGCATATTGTGAACTATATCATGAAGAATGATAATTTTATCAATATTTTTACTATTTCACTTGGTTAGACAACGAAGGGTGATCTGACAATTTTCGATGTCTTTGACTACGTATCTATCATTTGGCAGCACCTTGTTTATGACATAAGGACCCTTAAATTTTGGCAAAAGCTTTTTGTTAAATCCTACTGTTGTGTCTACATTCTTTATTACTACGAAATCTCCTACTTTGAATGAACTGACTTTATAACCCTTTTCCATGGACCTTTGCTCGTTATACTTCTGTGTGTTTGTAATAGCAGCCTCTGCTTTGTCTCTTATTTCCTCAATACCCCCCGGGGTCCAACAATTTCTCCTCTAGGTATTCGGATAGCTTGTCCACTACTTCGCCTGAGGCGAGTGCACTGCTACTTTCACATGATCTATATTTGTGTCTCCTAAAAAGTCAGAAAACTCCTTCGAGGTCAAACAACTTCCTCTATCCGTTATGCATCTAACTGGTCTGCTATAGTAGTCGAAATACTTTAATAATGCCGCATTGACTTCTTTAGTGCTCGTTGTGAGAACCGGGTACAATCTAACAAACTTCGTAAATGCGTCAATAATGACCAAAATATGTTTTCTCTTTGATTGAAGTGATGGTAATGGACCCAAATGATCTAAATGGATTGTATGGAAAGGTCTTTGCTCCTTCGGTATACTGTGTAGTGTACACTTCAGAAATTTTTCCTATACTTTTGCTTTATTTCAGGAAACCAGTAATGATCTCTCATTTTTAAATAACATTTATCCACTCCTAAATGACCTAATTTCTCGTGTATATTTCTAATTACCACGTTTTCCATTTGCTTCGGAACAAAAAATCGTATATCACCATTAATTTTTTTATACACCACACCATTCACCATATCATACCCACTCACCGTACCTCTCTCTAGCTTTATTTTTAAATCTGCTATTTCCTTGTCTCTAGCTTGGGCTGCGCACAATTGAAAATCTATATCCTCTGCCTCTATAGTTGCTACCACGTTATTGTTTTGATCAATCCTAGATAAGGCATCCACGTGACCCATTTTCACTTCCGGCCTATGAACAATTAAGTAATTATAATTTTCCAATTCTAACGCCCATCTTGCGATTCGACTATTAATGTTTCTCTTGGCTAGAGTTAGTGCGAGAGAATTACAATCTGTCACAATTTTGAAGCATATTCCTTCCAAATATACTCTAAACCTTCTCAAGGAATAAATGATAGCCAATGTTTCCAATTCAAAGCTATGATATCTTGTTTCTGGATCTGTGGATCTAATATTGGACTAGATGCTTCTTAAGGATCTCAAAGGCTCTAATACTATTCCTTCACAAATTTCCTAAAATATGAACATAAACCTAAAAATGCTTGCATCTCTATAACGTTTTTCGGCATTGGATACTGCTTAATTGAATCAATATGTGCATCAGATGGTTCTATACCTTTCCTTGAAACTTTATACCCTAAATACCCTATCTTAGTATAAGCGAACATACATTTCTGAATTTCGAGCTTCAGCCAATACATAGCTAATCTGCTCAAACTCTTCTCCAACAACATAATGTGTTCTTCTAGTGTTTTCGAGGCTATTACAATACCATCCATATATATTACCATTTCATTTTTCTCCAAAAAGTCATGAAAAATTCCGGCAATGAAACGCTGAAATATAGCCGGTCCATTTTTAAGCCCAAAAGACAGCCTCAAAAATTCATATTGTGCGTTAGGGACCACAAAGGATGTATACTTTGTCGAATCATCGTCCAATTTGACCTGATAAAGACCTGACTTCAAATCCATAATGGTGAACCATGATTTTCCCTCCAAATGTTCTAAGCAATCCTCTATCAGCGGGAGGGGGTAATTATCCCTCACTATAATTTTATTTAAGGCCTATAATCTATACACATTCTACATTTTCCACTCTTCTTTTTAGTCAACACAATTGGCACGACAACCTTCTCGGTGAGCAGTATGGCACGTTTCCAGAATTCACCAAAATTGACGCTTTGAACTTCGATGTCTTCGGGTTCATGTTAAATTTCTCAAAATAATTCTCTTGAATCAAACTCCGAATTGCCTTCTTATCCTGTAGTTCTAAAGATGGATTAATATCCCAATTTTCTTTGTCATCTTCTATTTCGATGTTACATATCCCCTGTATATGACTAATTTCATCTTCTTTCATCTTGTTAATACAACATATAGCCTGTCGGTGTTTTACCCACTCATTTTCCTTATCTTCCTTAATTTCCACAAGAACACCACACAAATTTACATTGGTTTCATTTTTTATTTTTAACGGCTCTTTCTTTTTTTCGTTTTGTGTGTCCGTGTACAAAAATAAATTAATTTTATTTCCGGAATTAACAAATTCATTGGGATCCGGTCCCCCACTCTCCCAAGCAATAAGGAACAAGGGGCATCATCATCACTTAAAACATGAAAATTCATTTTTTCGCTTTTATTTTTAAACTCCAATACTGCTGCTATCTGTCCAAATGTCCTCAGCCATCTACCGTCCACACCTTTAAATCTCAAATCTCTTTCCACCTTCAAAATCAATTTGGGGCTCAACGATTGTATCACTGCCTTGTTTATGAAACTACAAGGGCTACCGGTGTCAATTAGGGAAGAAACAAAATAAAAATCAGAACCGGACGTTTCGCGACCCAAAGCTACTCTTATCTTTGTATTCCAGCTCAGTTCTTCCTCCGGCACTGCTGCTACTGTTCTTAAAGGGCAATGCATTCTCAAATGGCCCATTATGCCACACTTAAAAGAAGATCCCAACGGTCGCTTCTCCTTCGGGCAGCTGGTTGCGTACTGCCCAAACTCATGGCAATTGTAGCATCTTAACTGGACCAATGTCTTCATTTCCAAACCGCTGTTTGTCTGCCTTTGGCTTCTTTCCTCCACAAGCTTTTCATATTTTGGAATCAATTTCTTAAAGCGGGCTACTGTGTCCACGTTGAGGAATATTGTTGCGGCCATCGTCTTTTCTTGGAGGCCCTCTACAATATACTCCACCAGCTCACCTTCGCTTATTGGAGCATCTTCTGCAATTTCCTGCATTACTAGGACGTTCCGGTGTAAACTTTCTTTGCCTCTGCTCCATTTTCTGCTGTCCAACTTTTTTAGTATGATCTTGGCACCAACCGCTTTTTTAATCTCGGCAAGCATTTCATTTTTCAATCCTTGCCAATTGTCCGACTTCGTATTTCTCATAAATAAAGCTTCCCGCCATCATGCGGCGTGCATACAAAAATTTATCTGCCTTTGCGCAGCCAACCACCTTTGTAATTTTCTCGAATTCCGCTACCCATTTTTCAATGCCGTACCGTTAAACTTTTCAACGCCCCTTCAATATCTGCAAAACTGGACATGCTTCCTTTTCCAGCTCTCTGCGCTTCCATTTCGTTTATTTCCTTTTCTAGTTTCAGCATTCTCAGCTTCGTTTCGAGAAGCTTTATCTGCATTTCCTCTGCTTCGCCTTCAACCGCTTGTTCTGCCTGTTCCGGCGTACCTTTTTCCATTTCGGCCTGTGGTGATCTTGCCGCTCCAACAAATCTATTCCAAATGTGTTACCTCGTTCATTAACTGCTCACGCACCATTGCTTTTTGTTTAAAGTTTTTTTCTTTTCAGCCA